CAACTCTGCCTCGGGCTTCCTGTAGTCAGCCGCTGGTCAGTTTCAGCAGCAGCTGAATCTGGACGCCAGTTCTGACTTACATACAAATTCAACTTAAGAACAAACCTACAGTCCCTATCTTGTACGTAACCCGGGGACTGCCTGTATATGAAAAAAAAAAAATTAGCTAATTGTGGTTTAACATGGTTATGAGGAGAAACCAGGTGAAACCTTGCAGCCTTTTACTTTGCTTTTAGTTTACAAAGTACATTGAGGCCTATAACTCAATATGAAACTCAGTGTTTGAAGACTACTCACAATGTGAAACTTAAAAAAGGTTCGCCTGAAACTGCCAAACAAATTAGTAGCATATTTACCTCTAAATTCTGAGCTCTTCTTCTAGCCCATATTTCTTCTTCCTCTTATGGCCTCATTTTTGGAGAGCAGAAAGTGCCAAGATTCTGTTCTAACCAAGGTCAATTTCACTCTGTGGACTACCAGGTACAGGTTGGACTTCCTTGGTCTGGCACTGTCCGGACCTGACCGGTCCCAAATGAGAGAATTTGCCAGTCCAGGGGAAATGTCCCCTGCCACCAGCCCTGAGTCAGCTGGCCCCTTGACTCTGGCCCCTTCTACCTTCTCCCCAGACAGACTGTCTGCCCTGCTGCCACCAGCCCCTCAGCCCTGACCACAGTCCCAGTCCCGGGCTGCTGCAGGCGGCCAGGTTTCCCCAGCTCCGTGCTGCAGTGAGCAGCCGAGATTGTCTGTCCCCCAACCCCGCGCTGTGACAGGTGGTCAGGGTTCTCCAGTCCCTGATCCCAAACTGCTGTGTGCTGCTAGGGTTCTTCTGCAAAAAGCCAAGCTTTGTCAGCCCCCGGCCCTGTGCTTCTGTGGAAAGCCAAATATTCCCTGGCTTCTGGGGTTCTCCGGCTCTAGCCCCAGTACTGTTGTGAGGCTCCAACCTGACCTGATGCCCCCAACCCCTGCTGGGCTGCTGGGTCTCCTGCCATTAGGATCCCAAGCTCTCCAGTCGAGACGCATCCATGGTCCTGCTGGATGACAGATGTTGCGGGAACAGAAGAGAGAGAGTTTTCAGAGCTGCAAACATGTACAGCCATTAGCCTCAGTCTTATCAGTCAGTAAGCTACTGCTATTGACTGTAACGGGACCAGGATTTGGTCCTAATATAATATGTAATACAGCTGCCACTGAGCTGTAGAAAAGTCTAAAAGTCACTCCCTTTCTCACATTCAGTAGCTCAGGGGCAGGAGAGGTCTGTAGCATTTTCTAGTCACTAGTTTAAGGGGTTGTATTCTAATAACAAATCTTGGAAGTCAAATGTACACATATAGGAGGAGAAGTCAAAAAGTATCCGCAAAGTGTTCATATCTTTGTGAATGCCCCAGCTGCTGAATTCGCACGCAACTGTAAGCACGGAACCTCCCTATATTGTAGCAACATATTTGGCGTTGACCACTCAGATGTCTTTCACTACTAGTGGGGTCAACATGGCCGATACGCTTACCACATGCACCAAAGAAGAGCAGCGTGCAGTGATTCAATTTTTGTGGGCTGAAGGTGAAAGAGGTGCGGAAATTCATTGAAGACTATCAGCACAGTACAGTGACAGTGTTTTGCTTCAGCGAAGCATGTACAAATGGATTAACATGTTCAAAAATGGCCGAACAAGCGTCACTGACAAAGAACAACCAGGGCCCCCATCCACAGCGATTACTGAAAGGAACACTGAACAAGTCTGTGTGTTGATTCTCGAAAACAGGAGAGTGACTGTCGAAGTGGCAAACCAACTGCAGATTAGTCAAGGTTCTGCCCATGAAATCATTCACTACAAACTTCACTTCAGTAAAATTTGTGCAAAATGGGTTCTCAAACAACTCATGGAGCAGCACAGACGTAACCATTTGGACATCTGTAACCGCCTTTTGAACCAGTATCATGAGGAAGGTGACGCTTTCTTGAGTCACACTGTCACTGGTGATGAAACATGGATCCACCACTATGAGCCAGAGAGTAAACGCCAGAGAGACCCCTCAAAGCTGCTTTAAGAGGCCGTCGTTTTGCCAGTGACCATGATTTGAAGGAGGCGGTGAATACATGGCATGCTGCCCGGCCGAAAACATTTTTTTCTGAAGGCATAAAAAAGCTTGTGTTACGCTGAACCAAGTGCGTTGAAAAGCAGGGGAACTATGTTGAAAAAAAGATACACTTATGAGTTCTGTATTGCTGTTGTGTTAATTTTAATAAATACATTGCAGATACTTTTTGATTTACCCTCGTAGATTATAGAGAGAGAGTTGCTATTCTACACTATGGGTATGTCTACACTACCCCGCTAGTTCGAACTAGCGGGGTAGTGTAGACATACCCTGAATTATCCCAAGAAGACTGAATACAGGAAAGATGCCAGATTGGCGAGCACACATTATATTGTAAGCGCAGCTGAAGGCTTGCTTGTCTTTGAAAAAGAATTTTAACACCTGAGCTTTGGCCCAGTGTTCTAGGGTGGTTGAAATCAACCTTCAAAGGAAAAATGTGACTTGCCAGCTGTACAGCTCATATAGCATCCCTTGCTGTCTTCATCACTGATCAACACTGGCATTTGTTAACAAGGAGACCTTTTGATATGTCTTACCAGCTGACGTCTAAGACCACATTGACCAGCTTTTTCCGGAACATGTTAGTAGACGACACTGTCTGGTTTTAAAATTGACACTAGCAGTGTGGTTCCCTGTAGCTTTTTGTCAGATCTGCAGCTCACTAATATTCTGGGACAGTGTCACCCACCCACCATTCAATCCTGACTACAGTGGCAGCTTTATATTCAGCACTTGACTGCTGATGATGCTGTGCTAATCTTTAGTGCAAAGTCCCAATGATTCTTAGAGAACAGCTACAGCAAAATAAATAATGGTTAAATTTACATTAGTATCACCCATTT